CAAGTATGACTGATTTGAAGTGAAATGTTTTATGCTTTTCACTAAATTGAGCATGCCTACTTGAAATTTAAGTGATTGTCCTGATGATTTGAAAGTGATTGTGAATTGTGATTTTCCTGTTAACTTCTGCCTGTTTTGTCTTCGATGTGGTCATGTTACTCGTGTGCCCGCCAGTGGGAGGTTTATAAACGCTTGCCGTGACCTATAGAGGAGACGTCTATTTCGTGCCCGTACTGTGTCCGTTTTTCGTGATTGCACATGTTGGCATGCTATAAGTTTGATTAAGGGCAATCCATATTTACTTACTGAGTTTATCTCATAGTTTTTCCTTGTCCACCATTTCAGGAAGTGAAACCGAGGACGGGGAAACCACGGGAAGTGACGAGTTAGAAGGCTAGCCATATTGTAATTGGATATAAATTTTAGATATGAATTATGATCTTGTATTTGGAGATTTTATGATATCAGAGAGAATTTTATAATTTGATCTTCAGATTTTGATGTTATCAGATTGTGGTGTGATATGTTTCGAGCCTTGTGCATTTGTGGGACCAGTCTCACGAGTGCACGGCGTCTGCCACGTCCCCGGATTTGGGTTCTGGGGCGTGACAGAATAACACCACAAATTGATGCTTTTGTAGGTGTGCCTATTATCTTTGTCTTTATTTTGTTATCTCCTTGACTAAATTTATTTCATCCTCTTAGACTTTCAGTAGACAGAAGCAGGTCCTTAGTGGGAGCCATTTTGTCAAGAGTTATACCGCAGCCTGCAGTAGTTTCAACCGTTCCTTGTTTTCAACTATTACATGATATGGCAGAGTGGGCCAACTACCAACGAAAGTCAGGAGAATAGCCTCAACAATTTTGCATTTGATTTCTTTCCTAATCGGTTCTATTACAATGTTAAGCCTATTATTGCATAACTACAGATTGTTGGAAGTTGAAAGGTAATTCATTTATCAAAGAATCTAAATTGTTTCATTAAGAAAACTGAGACAATGGTAGAAGATGTTAAGATCATGCAGCTCTGATCTTGTTTCTCTTTGTACTTCAGTAACATCATAATCACTTTGTTTAACAACTTCAATTTATTGTAAGTTCTATTTGTGGTGTTTCTCTCATTTTTCAACTAGCTACATTTCCTGTTATAGTTTCCTGCTTTTTCCTTCAGATGTTGTTATGTATACTCACCAATGCTTTTGTAATTATGGGCTTTGATTAACAAATAGAGAGTCCTCATCATTATGAGATATGGTTCAAGTGTAACAGAGATAAGAGTTTAGGCAAGTCTTATGTATTTCTGTTGTATTCCTGCATCCAAGGTCCTGTTATGCATTGTTTTGTATTCGTTATGGTCGCTGTTGCATTTTGAATTTTATATGCCATTAGCATATCAGATTAGTGATTCTCCTTCTACTCTTCTGAACCCTTACATTTGTTTATTTCTAAAGCCTCTTGAAGGTCATTGATCTCATTGCAGCTTCACCTTTGACATGTTTGAAGGATCACCTTGGAAAGGGCGAAAAGCTCACCTTATCCCTCAGTGGCACATTTTCTTTTTCTGTGTGGATGGAGTTGTTGGCTGCAACAACCGATACACTTGATTGTATATTGCTCTTAGACACTCAAGTCACTTCTTGTGGTGCAACTGTGAAAGGTTTGTTTAGTCTCATTAATTTTGAATATATTTTTAAAAGCTGGAGCACTCTTTCTGAACAATGGATTTTGCTTACTGTTTCCGGAATATAGTGATGCAAACTGCTTGTTCATGGAGACGTTAATCAGTGGAGGTTGCCCATGTGAAGTTCCTCTTACTATTAACCAACAGAGTGACTATTGCCTCCATCCAGCTAGTCATGCACGGATGCTTCTTGGAAAGGAATTCTTGAGGTATGCTTAAATCTTTCAGATATGTTTAGATAGAAGACAGGATAAGTCCGCAGATTGAAATTAATTTTCTTACTATACTTTGATTATAAGGTTTGATGCCACGAATCGCACAACTCTGAGGGGGTTCCACCTAGTTGTGCGTTTCATTTGATAACATAACACTTACCTAATAAGTCCGAGGATTCACCACAAATGACATGATATGATCCATACTACCATTGGCGACACCTGCAGGGGCGAATGCTTTTACACCAACTGAAACGGGCTAGAAGCCCCACTTTCTTATAATGTCGTCGGTCAATCACACGGTATCCCCAATCGTTGGATTTGTGCCTTAAATTAACAAGGCGTTGGATTTGTGCCTCAAATTAACAGGGCAACCTATCATAATGTTATAGGATGTCACATTAGTTAGAAACTTAATTGAATTTTCATGTTGTAACTATCGAATTTGAATTTTAAGGCAAATGAGAGAAGTGTGAGAAACATAAGGATAATTACTTTTTATTGTGTTGGTTATTATGTAAAAGTGTTTTTTGAATTTGTATTTTTAAGATATAAATTAATTAAATAAATTATTTTATTATAAACTTATATAAAAAAATATAAAGGTGGATATCAATTTTAGTATTATTTTTATGTTTATAAATTTAATTAAATAATTAATCAATTAAATATTATTTTTTTAAGATTCCTAGAATACAAATTAAAAAACTTATATAAAAATAAAAAAATATTTTATTATATGCTTATTATGTTAAAAATATGTATATTATTTCTCCTTGTCCTCAAGATTCTTCAATTCCTTTTTCCTCAACGTACTCCAAGGTTCATGCATTTCCTCCGACAATCACTCTTCTTTTTGAACTTTCTAATAAAAGCATATACCCATTTTCACAACAATAACCAATGTCCAAGGTTCATGCATTTCCTCCGACAATCATCCTCAGCGTACAAGGTTTATGCATTTCCTCCGACAATCACTCTCCTTTTTGAACTTTCTAATAAAAGCGTATACCCGTTTCTACAACAATAACCAATGTCCAAGGTTTCATGCATTTCCTCTGACAATCATCCTCAGCGTACTCCAAGGTTTATGCATTTCCTCCGACAATCACTCTCCTTTTTGAACTTTCTAATAAAAGCATATACCCATTTCCACAACAATAACCAACGTCTTTTTCTCCACATGAGACCGTCTGGTTGTATCTAGCTAGGAATTAAAATCACTGTAATGCTAAAGCTGCTTTGGTTTTTTTCCTATTGTTGGAATCAGAGCATCAACGACTTTGTTGATCGGCTAATGAGAAATATTGAGACTTGGTGGACGGGGCATTGAATTGGTGCCGTGTTCACTTTGTAACTTATAACTTAATAATGTTAATTTATATATATAAGTCCAATTCATGCAAAAAAGTCACTTTCCATATACCTAATCTTCTCAATTTGAAAGCATCTTTCTCCAATATTAATATTACTTTAGACCTTGTATCGTGAATTATAAGGCACTTTGACTTAGTGTTGATTGTTATATTCTTAGGTAATATATGAGGATATATTATGTTATAAAAATCAAACAAATATAGAAAAAATGTTAAGAACTTTGTATCTCCTCTCCTTTTACAAATTAGATGGATTTTTTTTATACTATTATGAGAAAATGGAGCATTCCAACGTTTACATTAAGTTATGTTTCTATACCTAATTTTTGTTAAGTATTTTTATTTTGATAATACTATTAAAATAATCCCTTTTTTTAACTTTTACATTGAGTTATGATTTCTTTAATTCTATAAATATCCATTTAAAAATCAGATTTAGGCTTTTGAGAGGAAAGCAAGAGAGAAACGACTAAAAGGAATTTAACAATAAAAGAAGATCAAGACTTGAGATCTTTTATGCCGTTGGATACTGTTATGTTCATTATGGGGTTATTGATTTTTTTTTTTTATGATAAACTGATTTAGTCATCTAATATTATAATGTAACCTGATCAAGTTGATATAGAATTTTATGATTTGTATACTTTTAAGGTTTATTATTTTATGTAGAGTCTATATTATTGTTTTAAAAACTTTTTAATGATTGGCCACCATAAAAATTGATTTGGAAAGCATAATTGAGACCGAAAAGAGATTTTATGCCATAGTTTCTAGTAATATATACCATGAATTGAATGAAAATAGAAATAGACCAATGTGATTCGTGCAATATTAGTGATAAAGTGAACTAATTTTCTATCTAAACTAAGGAATTTCATATAATATAATTCATTTTTATCTATTTAAACTCACATAAAGATATAGTGAGTTAATAGGTAAAGAAAAATTTGGCATAACTTGAGAAAGTATATAAAATAGAATTGGAAGTCCTATTGTCACATAAATAATAAATATCTTGAAGTATATTAATTTAAATTCTATATTCATATCCAAAAAAATTAATCTAAATTCTATATTGATTGATTATGGTGAAATCAAATGCTTTCAAATTTTAATTCTTAGTTTTACTTAAAATCAATTTAGTTTTTCTTTAATTGTTCTAGTTAATTATTTTATTTATATTATTTAATTTCAATTGTTTAAATAAAATTAGAATTAGTTAATTTTGATATTTAATTAATTTACAATCTTTGTACATATGACGTTACTCTATTCTCATCATTATATTACTTGAATTGATTAACACTCTTACTAAAGTGAATTTAACTCATCAGCTTGCACACTATATATAAATGGCTAGGTCTCATATTCATGTATCTACTCGTTGAGAGTCGAATTTGAAAGTAGTCAATAGACAAGAAGTACTAGGAAATTCTTAACATTGTGATCTTACAAACTCTATTGCTGCTTCAATTGCATTATCAGACACTCTCTCTATTTAATTATATTATTTTTAGTGTCTTGAAATTACACACGTCAATCCTATTGTTTCTACACATGCTACCAGAGCAATTGCATGCGAATTTGGGATCCAAAGTCGATTTTCAATCTGTTGACTATTTGTTAATTGATGTCGACTAGGGAAATTGAAACCCTTTTTGATCTTGTGTTTTTGTTTTGTTTTTTTTTTTCCAATAAAGGGAATTTTGGGGATAGGGGAAGATTTGGATATCGAATTTAAGATATAGTTGTCCTTGACTCTTAACAACTAATCAAAAGAGAGTAGTTATTAGGTCACTTAGTGTCAGGATTTTTTATCTTGTATTTTATGACCCTATTATTCAATAAATTTGATTTCAAAAATCATGTCTTTATTTATTAAATTATAATTTAATATAGTTTATTTGGGATTCATCACATTCTAACCAAGAGTTGTGCCTAATAAATATTAAATTAATTAAACATTTTGTGGTGGATCAAGAGTATTATTATGTTGCAACAATTGAAGGTACATCGTATTTCAGTACCTTGCGTGTGAGAGCTATTGGCATACATCAAGTGCAGCATGCAGAATGTTTGTAGGCAACAAGTGTGTATCTCAGCTTGAGGGGTTTCATTGATTATTTTGATTGAATGTTTGGCTGTTGTTGTAACTATAATTTTGATGATTATAAAACACTTACGTTTTTAATTGGTTTATTTAAGTGTGTAATTTATAAATGAAAGATTGTTAAAATTGCATCTCTATTTATTATTATATCTTTGTTTCATCTTAATTTTTTTGTTTCTTCCATTATTTATATTAAAAATATTTTTAGTCAAAATACAAGTGGTACAACTTGTATTACTTCTGTAGACCTTTAAATTTATATTAAAATATTTTCAATTTATACTAAAAATTGAATGCAAATTTAACCAATATTCTGTAGACCTTTAAATTGCAGTAGTTAAGAAGTTTTCCCTGCCAAATTTAATTAAATGGACTACTGTCTTACTGATTGAGATATGCTTGTTTATAATAAAAATGGTAATAATATTATTACCATTATTATCATTGTAGTTAAGCTAAAATTAATTACTCAAAATGGTAATAATATGAATTTACACGTTTTTATAAAAAATCAATTACTGAAAATGATATATTTAATTAACTAATTAATTAAGCTAAAATTAACATTTATGTATTTTATACATAAAAATAAATTTATTACAAGTAGTTAATATGTGCTTTTATGAAAACCGTTAAGAAATATGGATTCGGTTTAAATCTGAAAACGAAAAGTAGAAAGTTGAAACCTTCCCGAGTTTCCCATATTTGAACATTGACTTTATTGCATTAATGGACAAACAAATAAATAAATGTAATAAGAGTAAAAGATTGGGATAGTTAAGTGTAAAACATTGACCGGTGACGGCGGTCGAGTCCGCTATAACGTACAGCTAATGCACGGCGTGATACGCGGCCCGATGAATGCGGACTACTACTTAGTCTTAGGTCCCACCTCTCAATATTCTTCGCTTCCGGTCTCTGCCTTTATTTCGTCATTTTCTCCGCTTATTAGAAAAAATTCAACTTTTTGCCGATATTTGTAAATGAATTTTTGTATCTTATATAAGGAGTAAATGTTCATAATATGAAAAAAAAAAAGTGTGTATAAGTTCATCTGGAAACTGAAACTAATTATAAAATGATAATAATATGAATTTATAACTACAATGGTAATAATGGTAATTATAAAATGGTAATTTAAAACTATTTAAAATGGTAATAATGGTAATTATTATTATAAAAATTTATAATTAATTTTATAAGGAGTAAATATTCCACTCTTTCTCAATTTCCTTTTCAGATCTCTGCTTGGAATCATACAGGAAAAACGACCAAAAAAACAAAATGTTTTGGAATAGGTTCACCCCGTCAAAGGTAAGCTTTTTCTTGGTTGGCACTTTTTTGTTGGATCGTTTACCAATAAAAGATAATCTTATGAGCAGAGGTATTTCCTTGGGCCTTTCCTTTATTGCTTTTTCTCATATGTGTATTTGAATTTATTTAAATTTTAAATTGGGTATTCAAAATGATTGGTATTTGTTTATAGGTTTTTAATAAAGAGAAAGAAAGAAATGAAGCCTGTTTTGGGGATTTTTGTTTCCAATAAATTGTATACTTTTAGCTTGTGCCAAGAAAATTCCTCCCTGCTGATAGCTAGGGTTTATGAGTTTTTGGAAACAAGGGAAAATTGAAGACGAGAAAAGCAAACTTGAGGCAAGGACCTTTAACTTGAAATGGTGTCGTTTCAACAATTCATTCCACTTAAAAATTGGCAGATCCATTGCAAATCATTTTACTGTTTATTAAATTATAAAAGTTTAATTGTATGAATACTATTTTTTTATAAAATGATAAAGAAAAAATTTGAACGTGCTAAAGAAGTTTACACGTAATTTGGAAAAAAGCTAAGCACTTTCACGTTTGGGAAGACCATAAATTCTTGTGTCTAGCCCTACAATTTTGAATAATCCATCACTCCTTTGTTTCCCGACTTGTGTTCATCTTTAAGAAAATGGCAAGTTTAATAAGGTTTTCCCAAATCCTCTGCCTTTCCTTCATGTTGTTACGGTTTCGAGTCCAAAGCTCC